CTTCTATTTTACTTTTGTTTGTCCTTATCGTCGCTTTCACTTAAAGGTCCTTATTTGCGCCGCCAACGCAGTCTATCTAATCATCCCCTTATCGCCATGGCTTCAGCCGGTGGCCGAAGATGGCAGCAGTTCTTCCAAGAAATGGTGATGGTTGCAGGCACTGTAAGAAACTTCTTGTTGCAAATAGGACTGAATATTTCTAACACTACTATAGTCTGCATCTGCATATTTCCTCATTCGCTACCTTCTATCACGCCTTGATTTCGACCCAGAGAGCCAGAAGAAGGAGGAACAACGACAGAAGTCCGCCGCCATCATACGTCGGTTGGAAGGCGTAAATGAATCAGACGATGAAGCGCCACGGAAGGGTGGGAAAAGGGAGGAAAGGGCAACGAAAGAAAGAGCTCACATTGAACCAATATGAACAAGCGATTGCGATGGATGTTGTTGCGCCAGAGGATATCCCAGTGTCATTTGAAGATATCGGGGGACTTGATGAAATCATTGAGGAATTGAAGGAATCGATCATTTATCCGCTGACGATGCCTCACCTCTACGCTTCCACGTCGTCTTTGTTGACCGCACCTTCTGGTGTCCTCCTATACGGTCCGCCTGGCTGCGGAAAGACCATGCTTGCCAAAGCTCTAGCATCAGAGAGTGGAGCATGCTTCATCAACTTGCACATCTCAACGCTGACAGAGAAGTGGTACGGTGACTCCAATAAATTGGTCAACGCAGTGTTCTCGCTTGCGCGCAAGTTGCAACCTGCCATCGTCTTCATTGATGAGATTGATGCTGTTCTTGGAACCCGGCGAAGTGGCGAGCATGAAGCAAGTGGTATGGTGAAGGCAGAGTTCATGACTCATTGGGATGGTCTTACATCGGCGAATTCGACGGGAGAGCCCCAGCGGATTGTTGTCCTAGGAGCGACCAACCGCATTCAAGATATTGATGAGGCGATTCTCCGAAGAATGCCCAAGAAGTTCCCCGTGACCCTTCCTCCAATTACCCAGCGCCTTCGCATTCTCAGCCTGATTCTCAAAGACACGAAAGTTGATCGTGATAATTTTGATCTGCACTATCTGGTCAAGACTATGGCCGGTATGTCTGGTAGCGATATCAAGGAAGCATGTCGAGACGCAGCAATGGTTCCTGTGCGGGAGCTTATTCGCGCCAAAAAGGCCAGCGGGATGCAAATGGATGCAATGGATCCCCAAGAAGTTCGTGGTCTTCGGACGGAAGATTTCTTCTCTCGCGCCGGTGGTATCAAGGTCATTCCTCAGCCTGCTCCGTTCTCCACCCCAGCCAGCAAAGTCTCCGAGAAGGAGGATGGAGACTGGAGTACTGCGTCTGAAGCCACATCGGAAGCTGAGACTCGACACTCTGTGATGGCTGAGCCGCCAGAGTGAATGTGAGACATTTTGCCTTCTTGATATTTATTCTCCCCTTGTCCCGCAGCGCGAAGGCTTGGGCGTAATCTACTAAACTAGAAATGCCGGACTCTGGATTAGTGAATGGCTATTTGGTCTTTGGTTTTATGGATCTTTTGTTCTAGTATGGCCGGCTTTTTGATAGAATTTCTGATGTCATATGTACAATGGGTTCGAATACAATCTAATAGAAATCTTGCTCTCGAATTAGTCTTGCATTCCTATTCTATTTGATGGCAATTTTATATACGTCCACTGTGGAGAAGTCATCCCGGGCCCGACAAAGTACCGGGTACACAGAATAGGTGGCCTTCACCGGGCAACGTCATGTACCGCTACTTTGCCGAGCGGCAAAGTCACCTGAGAACAAACTTGTTGATATTGTGGCTTGAGCATCCTGCTTTCTTGTATTTCATTACTCTGTACAGACAAATTAAAATAATCCTATCTCTTAATCCTTATAATTCTTGTAATACTTGTGGGCAATCTTGCCTTTTTTAACTACTTTGTACTCCGCGTTCAAAGGTCTGCGGGTCGTTATCGTCACGCCTCCTTGGCCTCCTATCGCCTATCCTCCCTCAACTCTCTTGTTTTCCATACCTTCCAAAGGGTTTGCGTTGGAACTCTTTACCTTATATTTTGGAATCCCTGGCTATATGATCAGACGTTTCCTGCCCGTCTTCCCAATCAAAAGGCCACGAATGCCAGTCCGGGGGTGGATGACGAATGGGTCTCTCTTAGATCAACTCTGATGGCAACTGGTGCCTTGGCGGTACACACTTCTAAGGGGGCTTTTATTTTGCATCCTTAGACCCATTTGCTACATTTTACAGGAATGAGTTCTCAAAATAGCTATGACAATGCTTCCCCAAGCTCCAACGCACTCAGCGCAAGCACAACTTCAACCTCCACGGTTCGATCGCGCCCTCGCCGCTTAGTTTCATTCATGGACGACGAAGACGACAATAATGTTACGAACTCCTCCCAGGACGACCCCCAACCCTTTTCTTCGGGATTGTCAACGACTCTCGCCCCTTCCGAGAGAGGAACGACCCGGTCCCGCGGAGCGACTCCTTCGCCATTGTCATCCCGTGGAGCGTCACCACTTCCAATGAAGCACCCGTCACGCGCGACCGAACCGATCAACCGTAGTTCTCGGAGTGGGCCAACATCGTTCCCTTGGAGTGGATCATCAAAGGCCTCGTCGTCGGGAGGTGCCGCGGACTTTCTGGACTCCTCGTGGTCCTCTCTCCAAAGCTTGGCATCTTCAGTATTGGGAAGTGATGCTGGACGAGTCGCTCCGAATAGTGTGGCAAAATCACACACGCGAAGGAAACCGTCTCGGTCTGACGTATATATCAAAAGTACCCCCAGGCCGACGTGGGGTCCATCAGCACCGACCGCTCCGCAGTTCGGGACTGGGACAAAGGAGGAGCGACAGGCTTTGGTGCAGGCCAAAAAGAGAGAAGCGCTGCTTCTCGCTGATAGTGATCCGATCGCAACCCGTACGTTCCCTCACAAAAGACGCGATTCTGGCGACATTTCATACCAAGCGTTTGAGCCGGAGCATGAAGAAGACGCTTTAGCCTATATCCACAAAGTGCAACCCACAGACACTATCACCGGTGTGACGATCAAATATGGCTGCCAGGCTGCAGTGTTTCGGAAGGCGAACGGTTTCTGGCCCAACGACAACATTCAGAGCAGAAACACTGTTCTCCTACCAGTCGATGCATGCTCCGTGAAAGGCCGACCTATTCTCAAGGAGCCTGTGGATCTTTTGAGCAACAATGACGAAGACCCCAGTGACAGCTCGATCGCCCCCATGGCTGCCTCTACCGATAATACCTCAATTGAGCAGGATACGCCTGCAACCGTGTCTGGGGTCGATGGAAATCATGCTTGGAAACATGAATCATGGGTGCATATGGATGGGTTTTCCGGACCAGTGCAAATTGGCCGTGTTCCTCGAAGAGCATTGGGATTCTTTCCCCGTACACGTCGAAAATCGATATCTTATTCAGACGCAGAACCTCCCGATCTTTACCGAGAAACATTCACTCCTCCGTCTCCTACCGGATCACCACCTCCACCTTCATCCTCTGAAATACTGCCACGGACTCGACCGAACGGCGATCAGCCCAAACCCAAAACGACATACCCCGCTCGTCCTCGGCATCGCCGCCAGCGCAGTAGTATCCAACTGTCTGGCACTGGGGTGGGAACGCTTGACCCCACCTCAACTGGCCCGGGGCCTGCGTTAGATGGTTTCACCCGGTTCTTCGCACAGCACATGCCGAATCTCGCACCGGCACAAACCCCAGGTAATGCCCTGGAGGCTTCTTTTGACTCCTTATCCACTGTCACATCCAATGCATCGACTGGCCTCGAGAACATTGGCGGGGCTTTTGAGGGATGGGTTCGCAAGGTAGCAACGCGCGCCAAAGCCGGAATCAATGAGCTGCAGCAAGGCCCACCCACCCAGCAGGGCAGCAGCAGGGGTCGCAATATGTGGCGGATGGACGACTTGATTGAGCTAGACGATGGGATGGTAGATGGACGGAACTCCCCTAGCCCGCTCAAGGGTGCATCGCGGAGGTCTGAGCTGCAGGGCACCTCATCCTCATCCTCATCTAACCAATACAACAACCCTTCGGCGGTGGCAGCGAGCAGGTCTCGTGCGACTGGATTTGGTGCGGGCTCCAGTTCATCTGCCTATGGTGATCGGGTCAAGGATGAGTAATGTGTTTGAATTTCCAAGCGTACATAATAAGAGTCTCCGCGTGTGTGTATTCTTCGGAGTTCAAGATATCTTGCATTTCTTCTCTTCGCCCATTTTCTTTCCCCTGAGCGAGGTTCTTTTGTTCCCACTTTGGCGTTACCATTTTCTAATCCCAAGTCACAATATTTGGCGAGTACACATGCATGAGAAGTTGATATAGAACAGGATGCATCTTAGACGCTATCTTGCCATTTGCATACAGCTCATTGACCCGATTGGATATTCGGCCAATGTATCAAATAGCCAGGCTATTGCGTGATGGAATTGTCTTGCTTTGAACTGAACGGAAGCATTCCTCTTGTCATCTCGTCTCTTTGGCATGTTGGATGTATAATATCTTCAACGCTCTTGTTGCTACTGTTTTCTATACCATGGGCTTTTAGCCTGATGCTCCACTATTTAGAACAATATTTTCCAAATAGACTACTCGCCTTGTAGTCGATAAGCGTCTTTTTTTCCTCTTTATTCAGCTGTATCATTCTGTAAAGGAACTTGAATATTTCTGACTACCGTTGACTACTTCTGTGCAAGTATAGCCAAATCTTGACGGAAAGATCAGTCACACTCCACCCTTGGCCCGGAGTTTCCCCTTCATTTTCCCACCTATGAGCACCCGGGGCACCAAAGATCACAGCTCATCCCCAATGATAGACAGACTGTTGATAGTGGGGTAGCTTTAATTGTGATACAATTTCCCGTCAAAGGGGCAGACCGAGAACGAACTATATAAAGGTGATGATTTTCTGACTCTCTGCCCGGTTGGGCTCTCGAACTTCGAACTTTGAAAGATGCGGTCAATGACAATTACTTCGATGCTACTTTCGGTCTTATTCCTTTCTATAATTCCGGGGGCAATAGCCAACCCTCTCTCCAAACCAACAGGGACCACATCGAATCCCCCAACAGCAACCCTGTCAACAAGCAACAGAGGCCCAAAGACCATCTTTGTAGGCCGCTCTCTTCCAGAGTTCAATCAGGATCTCTTCCTAGGCATCAAATATGCCAACAAGCCAATCCGCTTCACACCAGCCGAGCTCAAGAGCGCCTATGCATCTAAGGATAGTGATTCTGGTACCTATGAACTACCTACAGCAGAACTCAGCACTACTTCCAAGTCAGTATACTACAATGCTACGGAGTATGGCAACGATTGTCCTGCGTATGGATCCGATACCACCGTCTTGGTGAATAAGGGCCTAATCACTTTGAATGAAGACTGCCTTAACTTGAATATAATCCGACCTAATGTCGACGAGAACTACGGGTTGCTTCCAGTTATGATTTGGATTTTCGGTGGTGGGTGGACACAGGGCGCCACTGCGGATCCGAGGTATGTTGGTCGAGGAATATAGGGCTGGGTATGAATACTCATACCTGGAAAGAATATTCGATGGTAGTGGTTAACCTTGCGCCACACTGTCTACAGATATAACATGAGCTATATTGTTGAACAGAGCGCATTGAACGGCAAACCAGTCATGGGTGTTTCTATCAACTATCGTCTGGCAGCATTCGGATTCCTTGACTCGGAAGAAGTGAGGGTAAGGCAGAGGCACTATATACAGATTCGGATGCGGCAGATTCTCGAGACTGACATCGATTCTAGGCTGAAGGAAACACGAACCTAGCACTGCGTGACCAGCGTACAGCTATGCGCTGGGTGAAGAAGAATATCAAAATGCTTGGTGGTGATCCTAACAAAATCACTATCTGGGGCGAATCTGCGTGAGTCATTGGAAATACATTTTGCGTATATCATATGTTTATTCTCGAATATACAGTGGTGCATACAGTGTCGGAGCCCATCTGGTGACTAACAATGGCGATAATGAGGGTCTTTTCAGAGCTGGTATAGTCCAACCCTACCATTTTTTTATAACCACCGGACTAAGCTCGACTAGCAATCATGGATTCTGGAAACGCTGTCGGGCCCCCATACAACGGAACAGAATGGCACCAGCCAATGTACAACCGAATCGTCGAGAGATCCAGGTAAGTCTATGGCGAACAAGTTTCTGTAAACTTAACCTGATATACTATGACCAGATGCACCAATTCAACGAACACCCTAAGATGTCTCCGTGAACTTCCCTACGAAGCCTTCTATAACATTGCAAACGAGGGCCTAGAATGGTTTGCTACCATCGACGGCTCATTCATAGCCCAGTATCCTCAGATCAGCTATAGACAAGGCAAATTGGCTCGGGTACCCATCTTGATAGGGACGAATACCGATGAGGGCACCAGTTTCGGGACAACAGGCACAAACACCGATGAGGACTGTATCAATAAATTGACTAGTAAGTGCTGTTACATCACATGCTTACCATCCGATATTATGCATCGTGCTAAGCGAGCATCACAGCATCCAAGCGCTGGGTCCTCGACCGTTCACAAGCTACCCAGCTGCTATCTTATTACCCCAACATTCCCGCCTTTGGCTGCCCCTATGGCTGGGGTAATATTACCTGGCCCTCGCTGGGACTCATGTACAAGCGTTACGAATCCATAGCCGGGGATCTGACCATGGTAGGCCCACGGCGCATGCTGGCACAACGTATGGCCACCTTGCACGACAAGGTATATTCGTACAGATGGGATGTGGCGGCGTTGAATGGCTCGACAATGATTGGGGTGCAGCATTTTGCAGAGGTACGTGGTAATCCGCCTGGTCTTGGATACTACGTAGGTCTCTAGCCTGCAAGATGAACTGACACTTGGATCGGGCTATACAGATCCCGTTCATCTTTGCAAACCCAGTGCAGACCATCACACCGCTCGGAATCGATCCTGCGCGCTTGGAACTGGGACAGATGGCAGCGCGAATGTGGATGTCATTTGTGGCGGACCTGGACCCCAACGGAAATGGTGGTTAGTAGAATACACGTGCGGCTTGATTCTACTGCCTGGAAGCTGACTGCCTTCTAGTTTCTGGTGTTGCCAAATGGCCCAAGTATTCGTCCCGTGCGACGAACTTTGTGTTCCGCTTACCCTGGAATGACAGTTATATCGAGGCTGACACATACCGGGTCGATGGGACTGATTATATCAATAGCATCGCGCGGTGACGTGGAGGAGGTAAGTTAGGCTAGCATCTACGGTACGTGCATATATAAGGGGAACAGATGGCAGACATGTGCTAGTCCATATGACTTTGTTCGTTGGGTAACGAGTCAAACCAATGGACAGCAAAGAGACCTTGCTTTGATTTTGCTATCCAAGTAGCCTGTCGACCATATGAGACGAGCAGGAACGATCCAAGTGGTTTTTCTTTTCTCGTTTGGTATTTGCATATCTTATATCTGGCCGGAAAGTCGGGAATGGCGATTGATTTAAACGCTCTTGGTGCCGATCTTGAGGAGCTCGACCTCGCTGCGAACAGTTAGTTTAGTTGTTCTTTATAGCTTCGTATGAATGGAGTAAGAAATGAGATGGGTCACTCACAAGACAAGCTTAGAGTTGGCGGGGATCAGGCCGGGGAAGCCACTATAACGATTTGACGTCAGCACAAAGCTCACAGGGAGAATCAAATCCAAAAGAGCAAGTTGGAGGTGTGAGGCATCCAACTTATCGCGGAAAACACAATATGTTGATTCAGCATCGAGCTTGGTTGGTTGGTACGTACCGGTCGCCATAGCCGTAGTCACTGTCGAGAATCGAATATTAGCAGTGTTCGATCAGCGCAAAAGCGCAAAGGAAAGTTCAAAACGGTAACTCACGAGCTAATAGTCAGGATGGCCTTCTCGCCGAGGGACATCTGGGGAACACCCTCGTCCCAACCTAATCAAGTTAGCAAGCTGGGTGAAGCTACTTGTCTCAAGACTTCAGATAAATGAAAACGAACCGCGGATGAGACGACCGACACCGATGGGGGTGGCAAGGGGACCACGGCCAGGCTTGTGAGAGGTGTCGAAGCTGTTTGAGGGTATATTAGCGTCTGATATAAGATCGAGGTGGGAGAGGCTTACAGGTTGCCCATGAAGTGGTTGTCGGCCTTCTCGGCATCATACAAGCAGCCAGTGTAGTGAATGGCAACGTGCTCACCCTTCTTAGGGTAGTCAACACCGTTACCCTCAACCAAAGTCTTCTTTTCGACGCCCATTTTGAATGTAATATGGATGAATATGAGAGTTGAAGAGAAAAGGAACGGGACCTCGGGGAGGGGCAGATTATCCACTTTTTCCCTGGGCGGGACAGGACGAATGTGTTTTTTTGCCCTTTACATCCATCGCTTTATATTACTATTATAGTCTACTCATGTACTAAATATCAATTTTTTCAAGAGTATAATACCCCGAAAACTCTTAAGGAATTCTAGACAATGTATGTTGGCTTTGGAAACAGCTGGAAACAGCCAAGAATACCTGGTAATAACTAAAAAAAGCCCCAGGCCGTACAACATAGGATATGATCTGCATAAGGGGGAACTCGTTTGTGAGTACCACATGGTCGAAATGGGTTGAATCTCGTACAATATTATGTAGAGATCAGACTAAAATATTCTCCTATTTGTTCCCTGAATGCCCCGCGGGCAATGGGGGAGAAAGCGAGATGATAACCCGCTGTTTTCTGACCTCGGGATAGTAGATACATCAGAGAATAAAAAGCAAAATCCCATCAATATACAGCATAGATCATTAAATCATGACCAAAATGCCATCTTTCTCACGTCCTCCACTGTAACCTCCGCAATTTGCGTCTTGGGGAACCGAGCATCGGGCACAGGAGATGACCCCGACGCTCCCAATTGTAGATAATGCAGCGTTGAAATACCAGCCCGATCCAAAAAGTCAAGCACAGGGCGGAAGTTCAAAGCAACCTGGTCGACACCATGACTGTCATCAGACAAACAGAAGCGACCCTTGAGCGCCACAAATTCCTAAAATCATCAAATTAGTCGCAAGATACATAACGAAAGACTGCATTATTACCTTGCAAATCTCCGCCTTGGGATATGGTTCAGTCATTCCCTTGCGCAACGCAGCCGAATTGAGCTCCAGCATACCACCGTACGAGGCAATAAAGTCCAAATTCCGTAAAACTTTACTCCAGACACCAGGCCAGGTAGTAAAACTGCGCTCCATATCATCGCTCTTTAGACGAATCAAATCAAAATGGCCCACAACGAGCGGTTTGAGTTGTTCCAACATATCCAGCTGTGCATCGAAGTAGTCCTCGAATAGTCGCTCATCTGTTCCGCCGGCTTGCTCTCGAGCCTGCTCGTACATAGATCGGTCATAGTCGATTGGCATGGTGTGCATGTGGTGAACCGAGCCAATAAAGAATTCAAAGGGAAACCGTGAAAGTGAGCGCTCGATCAAATCTTTGGAGGCGGGTCGGATCCAGTCAATCTCGAAGCCAATGATGATCTTGATCTGGGAGGCATATTTCTTGCGGAGAGAGACTGCTTCCTTCCAGTAAGCAGCTTCGTTTTCTGCATGGGTTTCTTCTGTAGTGCCAGATTCGAACTGAATGATTGGTTAATTCAGAATTCTTGCAGTGCATTTGTCCTTACTCACTTCCTCGGGGTAGAAATCTTCTTTATGGCGGGGCATGTGTTCGGTCAGACAGAAAACTTGCATCTTCTTGTCGATAGCAGTTTTAATAATATCTTCCAGGGAGTTTTGAGCATGGCCAGGGCAGAATTGGCCCGAATGGCTGTGATGCGAGAATGGCATGTTCTATGGATATGTCACTGCGACTGGTTAACACAATATCCGAAGTGAAGACCAAGCTGTGAGAGGAACAGGGATAGGTGTAGATGTTTTATTACTATTACCAGTGACAAGATTTCACACTCACGTTTGTTTAGGATGTCCTACTGAAGAATATGGAATATGCCAGTTACGTCGGGGAGTCAAAAGGTCGAAAGTCGATAGACGATAAGGATTTCGATGCCGCTTTATAGCACAAGGTAACAACTACTCTATAAATAACGATATTTCAATACACAATTTCTTGGACTTTGGACCTTTGTTTTCATGATTGATTCGTTCAATATACGCTTGTATGTTTCTTCCAATTTTCGAGGCTATCCCATCTACTCAGGTTTCGCTGAATAAGCGTGCGAAGTACGGATATCAAACACGATGATGTCCCTAAGTGCAGCGCGTTGCCATTCGAGCTGTAGACGTGCCTTGACGGGCATCACCTAGTTGCAAGCATTGAGCCAGATCCTGAACTAGGTGGCAGATCATGTCAAAGCCTTAACCTTCTCTAAACTCTCCATAGAAAGAGGATGCGCCCCCTCAGGTAGCTCATCAGTAGTTGCCTAGTTCCCCACTGAAACCATCACAGCATGTGTACCAGGCAAGTAGCTGCTCGCCGTCTGGCGCTGAGCCAACTGCAGAAATGCCATGAGGTTCATCCAACAAATCAGAGCCCGATAGACCCAACAATTCATCCAGCAGCCAATACAGTAGCGACAACATACTCCCCATCATGCGAGATCGATAACTTCGCAACCCTTCCCTCACCCGCATCCTTATCCAGTGCCTTTCCAAGATAAACAATCTCAGGTCTCCGACTCACACCCTCGCCAAATCTTCCCCCATCCTCCTGAACCCGGACCATGACATCCTTCCAGCCAATCGAAGCCGCACCAGATGGCGCCGCTTTCCGCGCTGCCTCTTTCGCCGCGAAACGTCCCGCTAGCCAGCGTGTTATGTCTGCTGGCACGGGTGGAGGATGTTGGTGGTGTACGGCACGCGATTTGAGGACTTCGCTGAAGCGCGTGTGGAAGTCATGTTGTTCTTGGTCGCAGAGGATGCGGCGCGTGAATCGGGGGAGGTAGTTGGGTCGGGTGAGGAGGCGGGTTATTCGGGGGACGTGAACGATGTCTGTGCCGATGTTCAAGGTGAATGGGAATGGGAGAGGTTTCATTTTTGAATTTTTGGTTGTTGTGAGAGTGAAGTAGTAGGTAGAAGGGTTGCGGCGGAGGTGTTGGAGACTTCGGGATAGCCGTTGAGCGGGTTCTAAGGTTGAGTTAAGTAGGTAGCACCTGGATTGTTTAACTTAGAAGGTCATTGATCGTGTATGGAGGTCGGGTATGAAGATCGCGTGGTTTTTATTTTATTTTAGAGAATGCTTGTTCAATGCTATTTTCCATCTACATCTTCTCGTTTTGCTCTACGCTCCCTCATTGCTACAGCGCTCCCACCGACTGAACAAGCAAGCCGGTCGGAGCTATAGAGAGTCATGCTCATGCTAGAGTGAAAGTCAACAGATGGCTCTTGTCAAGAACAGACTCCGAGCGACCCGGTGGGGGATTGCGGTAAAGCAATCGCACCACTCGTCTTTCTTCTGCGATTGATCTTGCTCAACAAGAACAGACCCAAAAAACCAGTGTCAAGAGGATAATTTTCTATGCAGCGTACACGCCTCCTATGTACAGATCAATCAACCTCATCCGCCGACATCCCAAAATCGGTCCGTGTAGCTCCTGGGAAAAAAACGTGGTCACAAAAAACGACGCGGAAGGGCGGATACACATCGTTGCGCGCTAGAAATGGCACAGAGCGGAGGCAGTTTGTTTGAATTTAGAATCCTAGCTGCTCATGTTCAACCGCTCCATCAATATAAACCGTATCGAGGGGTGGTTTAGTGGCCAGCGGCGGGCTTCTTCTCGCCGCCATCAACCTCCTTCATGAAGTTCCTGTAGGATAAAAAGTCAGTAAGCCGCTCGGGGGCTGATATTGAGATCCAATTTGTGGTCGGCGGTTCTCTGTTCTCCGCGATGGTGTTGAACATACTGGACGAAGTTCTCCTCATCCTTGGAGGAGGCATTGATGGGAGGACCCTGAGCGGTCTTGGGCTTCTCACCACCGGACATGGCGAGCCAGGAACCGGCGAACATGCTGCCGAGGGTGGCCATGGCGAGCTAATGAGAGGGTGGAGAGGTCCCGGTCAACTTTCATGTTTCACAAGTACCCGCACGAAGCGCGAAGAGAAAGGGATGGCGAGCGCGCAGCGGCATTTTTGGAGAGAGGAAAACTTACGACGTGGGAGCCGACCTTCTTGCCGGCGATCTGGTAGTAGACAACCATTTTGTAGGGTTGGAATTGCGGTACAGCGAGAGGTTTAATTGGCAGCGATGTGGACGGAATCCTCAGGCTTGGACCAGACGACGAGGTCGGCACGGATACCGCCTTTCCTTATTTGGTTAGTCAGTTCACATGACTTCGGGACTGTGGATTAGGTAAGGACGCTCGGCCACCCGGCTGTATCCGATATCATGTGACCTCCCCAGAACGAGCGTCACGGGTGCATTGGCATATGAAGATCAATTATAACACGAAAACACCGACAATTTTGGTTGAAACCCGACGAGGGATAACCCTTCGATTGAAAGCTTTGATTATGGACAATAAATGTTGAGTTCAACCTTGAGATATCCCGTAGATTACTTCTACCCCAGATCCCGACCCGGAAGATACCAACAGTACCTCGGAGGGGAACCTCGGGGAGACCTATCCCACAGCTAATGCTGTATATCCCGGCTATGGCTGTGTCTTCCGGCTTTAGTGTGCGGTTAATATGGGAATCTTTTAATAATAACTTGTTTCCTCCCCTGCATAGCTTGTCTTCGTTCTCCTTCACATTTTTTGTTTTATATACCCCTTTCGCCTTGGTTTCCCGTCATTTGGCACGCAAATAAGCGTTGCTTTGTTCAAAACGACTACATAACTCATAACTGGCCATATCATACTACTTTCGCAATGGTTTGGGGCGGTCGTCAACAGGATGAACCTCAGTCTCCCCCGCAGGAGCTGTTGGATAAGCCTGTGGTCCGAGAGAAGCTCCCCGCAAAATTGCAACAACTGGTTGACAGCGAGGACGAATTATACGATGACCTCTATTCCCAATAGTATGTGAAATTTTAACTCTGCTATACTATTGTCTTTTTGGGTCAGAAAATTGTTGTCGCGTACTCGGAGAGTAAGGGAGAGAGCCTGAAATAGAAGGCCGTACAGCGGTCCACGGGTAACTAACTAGTTACTTCCCGGCTTGAGTCGATGACATACTATATATGTCCCACTCCGACTCACCTTGATCAAATCAACGCAACGCCAAGAAAAGACGAAACAGGAACTAACTATGGGCACCTCGATTGACGGCAGCTCGGTCAACTCTACAGACACACCGTTCCGTTATGCCGCATACGCCAATCGCATCCGCACGATCCTTCTGTCCGCCCATCGCTATGTCGCCTACACCTCAGACATCGGCGAGTCCTTCCGTCCGATCGCACACCCATGGCTTGTACGGTCTGCCTACGCTATCTCCTGGTCATACCTGCTTGGCGATGTTGGCCACGAAGGCTACAAGGCTTATCTCCGGAACTGGAACGCACTAGCTCCCACAGGCGAGACATACAAGGATGCTACACAGCCTTCGCAGAACCAGATTATCAAGGGCATGATGACGGGGAACATGACGATTGGCAACTCAGCCGATTCCAAGGATGAGCAACCAAACTGGCCGACCCCCGAGATCCCGCTTGCGGAGGACTACCGCATGGTCATGGCCAAGCGTGCGGTATTCCAGAGTATCGCAAGTATGGGATTGCCCGCATTCACAATCCACAGTGTAGTCCGCTATTCTGGGAAGATGGTTAAGGACGTCAAGGTTGCGTTTATTCGTACCTGGACGCCGGTCGGGGTATGTACCGTTCCCTTTCGGGCGAAAACGTAAATTGGTGAATATGATGTTAAAGACTGTCTGTGATAGCTTGGTCTCGCTGTTGTCCCCTTCCTCCCCTACATCTTCGATCACCCCGTCGACGAGGCCGTTGAATGGGTCTTCCGCACTGGCCTTCGTGCCTACGGCGGCGAAGCAGCCGTCCGCCCACTGCCAGGCAAGAGCCTCCCTCCCCGGGAAGAGGAGGAAGTCCGTGCTGCTGCAGCGGCAAATCTCTCCTGGGATGAGTATAAGGCTGAGCGGGAGCGAGCGCGTGATCTCCGTCGCCATTCAACTGAGCGGGCCGCCAGTGGTGGGATTGTATCGCTGACGAGCTGGTTTGGAAAGTCTGAATCGGAGTCGGATAAGAAGAAGAAAGAATGAGATGAATACACCAACTTCTATTTATCGTTCCGACTGAAGTGCTTTGGCTGCTTCTGTCTCTTGTGTATAGGCACATCTTCCCACCCATTTTGAACAAAATACACACTATCATCATTTTTCTACTTTGCTGTGATCTTCTTGCTCATCTCTTTAGGGATAGTGAGGACCTCTTTCCGATTTGTATCGCTATAGATGCAGCTAGTGAAGACTGTCTTGGTGTCGTATTTCCCTGCTGCTCTATAAGATCAGTGACATAGCCAACGACTCTCGCGAGAAACAGTGAGCGTTACAATATCTTGGTAGACTTCACCGATAGAACCATGTTTGCCCTCCCACTAGCTAGAAATAATAGGCCCAAGCACCAGATAATCAGAGGAAAATGTCTCCTCGGGTGTAGACCGGGATCAGAGAGCCGACTAGATCCCCTGCTCGGACGTCAATAAAAGATTGCCTTACTGAATAACTCAACTCTCCCTGCTCAAAACAACAAAAATGAGGTCTAAATATCCTTCCTAGAACCCATGGTTCCGAATGGAGGAACGTGGGGTACCATCACCTTAATTTGGAAGATAAACCTTGGAACCTTCCAAGCTTCCTTTTGCTCTTTAATTTTACGTTGTTGTTATTGTAAAGCAGCACCTGTCAATGAATTTTGTATTCTATTTTCCACCAACATATGCTATCAACACAAGTGAACAAGTGAAATCTAACCAGTTACACATCATTCGACACTGCAAATCCCTCCACCCGGACTGACTTGGTCTGATACTGCACAATCAAGCGAGCCAACTTCAAGCGATCATCTCTACCAAGCCTCTGAGCTCTCTGGCAAAGGTTCTTCACGATCAAGCCATAATAGTCATGCTGAAACTCCGCCTCTGCCTCCCATTCATACATCGGGCTCCGCTCTCTGAAGTAATAAGGCCGGCCATGCCTCACAACGATCTCGTATAGTTTGCGAAATTCTCGTGATTTTCCGGTCTTAATCTCCCCATTTGACAGTACGACCACACTTGCATGCCACGGCATATCCCCAAATAGGTTACCTTGCTGCAGGAGGGGAATAGAGATCTTATTTCGCCCCAATGAAGGGTGAATCGAGAGACGGATGTATTTTCCAAGTGTGGTGTTAATGACGGCTTCATACGCCTGAGCAAACAGTGAGCCAGGGAGCATGATTTCTAGAAACCCTAAATCGTCAAGTATATCATGACTCTGAAACTTACAATGAGCCTCATGATCATCGTTTTCGCCACATTGGACACCTCAGCCGCGTAGAGCGCCGGGTCGGCCACGACAACAGGGTCAACCCCTTTAGCCCATTTTAGATCCTCTGAGATGCGACTAAAATAGCTCTCATATGTTGTCTTGGTATCTGGATTTGTCTTCAACTCATGTTCAATGTCAAATCTCGGGTCGAAGTATGTGGGTGACATCAGTTTCTCCCTGCAGGCGGGGACGAGACGCAGGTAATTGGCCTTGGGGATTTTTTCACCATCTCCTAACCCCAGCAAGTCCATCAGCCGGATGAACTCGATAGAAGAAAAATGTTTCTTTTGGGCGATTTTGCGTAGCTCAATGCCATAGTCGTAATATTCGTCGTCAGGAACGCCGACCAGATCTACACCGTCAGTCTATTTATTTCACTCTTGGTAATACCCTTCTTAGATGGGGATCAGGAATGCCATACCATTATACACTGGTCCATCACAAATAAGGATTAGTCGCGAACCGTAAGGGTAGACCTTTGAGATCTCCTCGCATAGGTGATTCAACTTGGCCAGACCCATTTCTTCCCCCAGGTCAGCCCCGGCTCCCAGGACTTTGTCCTGGTTCGGGCTCTTCCATGGAAATGCAGGTAAGACCATGGTTATCGGCTGGTTTGCCGTGATATTGGTCTTCAACTTCTCAGACACGGACTCAAACACCCTTCCGACGTCTTTCCGATGGCTATCTTTGCTTGAATGCAAGCAAAACCGCTTGAACACCTCGATAATCTTTTGAGGCACATCATCTGGGGCGTATTCAAATTTCATTGTCAATACAATGCAAAGGAATTCGTGGACATGTGCAGCAGAATAGGGCTGTGTGTTCGGATGTTATTATTATTCCTCCGCGTCAAGATCAATATTGAACATGCGATTGCAGCGATATATAATTTACGGTATTTTATTAAGTCACCTGCACACTTTGAAGGCATTCTTCCCTACAGTAGTACTACATACTTGAACTCTGTAAAAAACCAGAACGTATCTGCAAGCTTTCTGCAGGGGAGCGGGTACATCGAATCCACAACGTAGCACCAGAGGAGTCATATTTTAGAATTCAACTCTCATATACTGCCCACCTTCCACTTTATTTTCCGAGTCTTGGGAGATATTTTCTTTTTGCTCTTTGGAGCCTCCCCATACAACATGGGCCACTTAGACATATCCCAGAGCAATGCGGCCGGAGCATGCTCGACGGCCGTCGGTTCGTCCTACCCAACATCGGCCACTACCTACACTACTCTCACTGAAGTATCCCCCCTATTTGTTCCCCGGGATGCTCAACAACTAGACGAAGACCGCAAAGTTGAGAATAATGAAATCCCCGATGGAGGTCTCGTGGCCTGGACCCAAGTTCTGACTGGACATCTGGTTGTGTTCAATGTATGGGGCTATATCACATCGTAAGGGGGCCTTATCACATCTAATGTGAATTTTACCCATTGACGCAATATAGGTATGGATTCTTCCAGGAATACTACGTTAAAACTCTGAATGCCAGCCCGGCAAATGCGTCTTGGATCGGAGCGGTGCAGATGTTCCTCGTCCATTTCCTGGCCACTTTCTCGGGCCGGGCAATGGACGCGGGTTATCTGAGACCATGTATCGCCATGGGATGTCTCTTCCAAGTTGCTGGAGCATTGGCGACTTCATTTGGCACAAAGTTATGGCATTTCTGGCTAGCACAAGGCATCGTCAGTGGAATTGGCCACGGACTTGTCTTCAGCCCTATGATCTCGCTATATGCGACATACTTCAACTCCAAACGAGTCATGGCAGTTTCTCTGGCTTCTTGTGGGGCAGCAACTGGGGGGATGGTTTTCCCAGTGGTCGCTTACAAGTGTTTCAACAACATTGGCTTCGCATGGACTGTCCGGATCATGGCGGCCATTATCCTGTTCAACGGCGTTATAATTGTCATGTTTACCAGGTCTCGGATTATACCTCGGGGTCCTCCTCCCTGGGTTGATTTCAGCGCGTTTCGTGAACGCCCTTACCTCCTGTTTTCGATCGGCTCATTCCTGATCTTCGAGGGTATTTACTTTGCGTACATATATGTAAGTTTTGATTCCTTTCATATTGCGTTGGCGGCACAATTAACAATATCTACAGATTAGACAATATGCTCAAACTCACACTGGATTTACTGCATCCGATTCACTTCTCCTTCTCGTCCTGATGAACGGTGTTGGTGTTCCGTCCCGCATCGCATCTGCATTCGTGGCGGATCGGTGGCTGGGCGCAGTAAGGACTTGCATTGCAGTCTCGATCCCTTGCGGCATCGCCATTCTAGGGTGGATTGGTGTACACACCCACGTTGGCATGTTCATTTGGGCCACGATATATGGATTACTGGTTAATTGTGCGCAAAGTCAATTGCCCGCTGCCAATGCGTACTTTGGATCCAAAGACCCAGAAAAATCCGGCACGCGTGTTGGGATGATCACCACGATCAATAGCATTCCACTTCTGACTGGACCTTACATAGCAGGACAGCTGATCGCGTTACGGGGAGGCGACTACCTATACGCGCAATTGTTTGGGGGTATTTGCATTTTGACTGGAGCGTTGTTTGTAGTCGGGTCTCACTTTTCGGGGGCCTGAAATTATTGTATATCATTATATTTTTAATAGATACTTATGTTGTGTATCTACTTGTCTTCGAGGATGGCGAATCTTAAGCCTAAATTATTAAATTATACCATCCTTTAGCCACATAACATACATAATATACTTGTTTTGCGTGTTACATTATCTTTGCTGTCATCCTCACATCAATCTATGAATACATTCTCCCTTGTTCATTGCATCAACTGACCTTGGAATAGCCCACCTGAATCAACAAAAAGCGCGACCCTCTCTGTTTCAGAATGGCCTCCCTACTACCACGTTCTCTCCAACTCATCTCACGGGGCTTTTCCAACAGAGTATTACACAAAATGACACTCAGACCTCTCCATTACCACCTTCCATTGTTCCCAGGGTTCCAATTACTGGACGTGGCGGCCCCACTGGACATTCTCAACATCCGCACGCAGTACCCGGACACATCGAGCATCACCCTAACTGTATCAGCCGCAACTCTCGATCCAGTCTCAGTGAAACCAATCCCGCCTGCCAAGGCAAAATGGAGATTTGATCTACCCGCCTCGAACATCAATACAGCTTGCAACCAGCAAATGTTGCCACAACGTACCTTCGCTGACGTGATCTCTGCTCTGAAAGCGGGGGATGTTGCCGACGATGGAAGTGGTGAAATCAAACCTATCGATGTATTGATCATCCCAGGTGGCCCGGGGACACGTCTGAACCGTATTTACGACATCAATACTACATGCAATGAAGTCAAAGTCTCCAACACGCAGGAGGTCCAGGACTTTCTGACTGCGGTTGCGCCCTATGTCCGCCACAGCATCATTACGGTTTGCACGGGCAGCCATGTCCTCTCGCAGACTGGGCTTCTGGATGGACGCCAGGTAACAACTAATTCAGCTCGCTACGACGATATCACTAAACAAATGAGCGAGGTGAAGTGGCAGCACAACAAACGGTGGCTGCGTGACAGTGTTCCCAAGGATGTGGTATCTGGCGGCCTGTCATTACTACCTGGAATTGAAATCTGGTCATCTGCTGGAATCACTGCTGGGATTGATGTGATGCTAGAGTTTGTTTCGGCGCATTATGGAGGTATCGAAGTCGGAGTGGAGACTGCGAAGCGAATGGAGTATCGCTGGGAGCGAGAAAAAGAGGCTTCTTACTTCTTGTGAATGGGGTTGCCCTAAAGAAGCCACTAATCTTATGGATGTTTGGAAATGGAATATGCCCCGGCCTTGGTATGAATATAATTAGGTCATGAAGCTGGAGCGATTTAAATTTGACCTTTTTGACTTCCTGTGATGTATCAGCCTTCAGCCGTCGAAATATTGAGATAGCACGTCGACATGTTACCTTTATCCCTAAAAGCTTTCGCCAAAGACATTTATTGTTTACCCTCTGTCGCGACCTCTCGTGTAAGGTATTCCTACATCGAGCCTAATCGGGAAATGGAATGTGCCCAAATCATGTATTAATAGTCGGTTTAGCAGCCATAAAATCCTTTCAGTGTGAGGGCATTCTTGACTGATCAGGTAATAACGACTTTATCTGCGATATGTTATATCTACTCATATAATTTGTATTGCTCTCCGGGGCTCTTTAATCAAATGCCTAATCGGGACATATGAAAACAATCATACTCTGAGTCATCACTGATTTCAGCACACGTATAGTCAGATTGTGAATAATAGCGTTTTGTCTTTCTTGTGCAACAGCATAGTATCCATTCAAGAATTCACCGAACAGAAGTTATCAGAAGTACAAAAATAACGGGGAATAGGGCAGCACACAGAAGGTTGGACGGCGAATACATCCTAACCCACGAAGAGCATAAGAAACCAGGAAGGTGGCGATAAACAGCCACCAAATTCCAATACAAGCTCTGAGGGTACTACCCCTTATAAATCACGAGTGCATTCGAATAGTGAATTTTACCCCTTCCCAATCCCTAGCTGCAACTCCAACCTCCCCACTCCAGTCTATCATGAACTATATCAAAATGCTAGCACCGACGGTAGTCGAAGTCTCCGCCCATCTAGGCATAATCTCTTTAGATTGCATCACCTCCACCCCAAAGACCCAAGTATCCTTCCTCTCAAACCCACACCCAGTCCCCCCAAAACCCGAATTCACTACTGACACCCATCCTGACGCACCTGCGACATGTCCCACATTAACCCGCCTAAAGGCAGAGGAAATAATGAACATTGTGGAACGCTACGGCTCCCATGAGCGCACAACTGCAGCCGGTGAATGGCTCGGTCGGTTATCGTTCACGCCACGCGTGCAGACACACATCGTAGCCAACAGGGCGATTCCCATGGTTCTACCTGCCTTTCCAATGAAGAGTAACAACCGTATGGACAAGGTACTTGGTGCGCTTCCGGATTTGGGGGATGAGCTTGGGTTGGCACGGTTGGTGAATCTATGCCGGGATATTAAGGCTGTTTACCCGCCTGGTGCGGTTGTTGTTATTGTTACAGATGGGATCTGCTACAATGGTGAGATTAAACCATTCTGTTCATTCGGATACACATACAGGATTTGACGCTAATTTGATTTCTGGATTTAAGATCTTACGGGGATTTCTGATGAGGAGGTATGGGAGTATGGGAATCGACTGCGGAAGATCACTGTCGAGAAGGGATATGCTTGTATTCGGTTCCATCGCATTATGAATATGCTGGGTCTTTACACTGGCGCGCACATTTCCAAATCAGATTATGTGAAGCTCTGTGCTTTATCGAGGGCTGAAGTACATCGACGGTATGGACGGCCGGGATTTGATGTCGATAAGTTTTTGAAAAGCGATGAGGATTATCTGAGAACCTATAATGGTCAGTGCGTGGCTTTCGAGTCTATCCAATGTCACCTGGCTAATCCAATGCAGGGTACGACAAGTTCATGAAAATTGATCTAAAATTCAGCCCAGTGACCAAGGATTGTGCTAGCCCCAAACAATATAAGAAGAGGATCAAGATTATTGCAAAGACAATGATTGTACGCGGGGTGGTAGGTCATCTCGAGAGCTATATAACATGGCAGGTCTGATTTCATGGATTATAGGAGTACGCGGAGCTAGTACGCCAAATTTATCCCGATTCACTGCGTCTCTCCATCCATCCCTCATCAGGGCAGACGAAGCTGTCCTTTCCCCTTATTCCACAGAAGAACTCGTTTTCCATGAGTCCTTGGCACTGTAGTGTCGCAGTGACAACCTCAGGGGAATTCATAACAGCTCACCAATCCGCACATCGACAGAAGTTCGACCTCATTACGAAGAACGGTCAACCATATTTCTTCCGTGAGAGCTCACCACTCTTTAATTGGGATACCAAAGTTGACTTTGAGCACCATTATGAGCAAAACCTGGTCATTAGGGCACAGAAACAGAATGACCAAGGGCTCTCCGACTCAGATTTGGACAAGTTGGCACTTTTGGCAATTCAACAGAAAAGTGTGTCTTTTATCTTTGTATAAATCCGATATTCCGACAGAAATGTTATGTTGGCTTCCATCTTAGGGTTGGATGTATCTAGTTATATGAATGAATCTATGAACTTCCATCTAACCTACAGAATGTAATACGAAAGATGGAACAGCCACGGTAGACTGATATAGCTGACTGAATCCATAGATAGTGCTTTACCTGGATTCTCGGGGTACATTTACTTCTCTTGCTATGTATTTCAATTCCTATGTCACATTTCCTCATAGTCGTATGTCATATATTACATAGAAGGACTCGAATACTCATTGTCACCGATTGAACAGAAGATCGGCCGTGGAACTCCTGCTGCAACGGAATAACTATTAAAGGTGATTTTGAAAAAGTCCTTGTATCGAGTTCAAAGGAAAGGACTCCCGGTTTTCTCTCCACTTTTGATACCCAAGCATTGGCATTTCTGCTCAGCTTTCCAACGCGCATCTAGCTATGACCACATTCATATTGTTCGATTCCTGTTAGAGCAGAGTGCTCATCGTAGAACCCGGATTAATCCACAGGGCAAACGCTTCTGTTCATTGGAGTTTGTGATGGGCAACGGCATTACGATATGGTTAAGCTTCTCTTAGACGGAATTCCTACAAAAGCAGATACTTTTGATGATATGAAGTCTGGCCTGGAGTCTGCAGCGGGCAGGGATGACCTCAAGATGTTTCAACTTCTCAAAGAATACGGATCCGAGCTTGGGGATAAATGCTTTAATGCTTTGGATCATGCGATATACGAAGGTTGTCATATTGTGGTCAAGCATCTCCTAGCACAACAGCCTGCGGGTTGTAGCAAGGAGGGGTGATCTCAAGATATTTGAAATCCTCGAAAGTTATGGGTCCGGGCTTAGCAGCAAGAGCAAGAAGTTTGCTTTAGGGGATGCAATAGGTAATGGTTATTGCGATATGGTTAGGCATATCCTGGACGGAGAAATTCCTGAAGCACATTTCGCTTCTGTGGTGGATAATAGACTTCACTATGCATCATTCAACAGTGCACTCAACATGTTTGAATTTCCCGAAGAATACGGATTCGAGGTCAGGAGGAGCACAAATCTGATCCAAGCAGCCCAAAGCGACTGTCTTCACCAGAACAAGGTTAATACCAATACCACAGGCAGTCAGCTTTTGATGACGCCTCTTCATTTCGCAGCAAAGCATAGCAATATTGACATGCTGTCAACTTCCTTCTCGACGAGGGGGCTGGTATCAATGCCTTAACAAAGGAGCAGGTTTTGTCTCGAGAGCAGATCGTCATTTTGAGGCGCTTAAGCTTCTCTTCGAGAAGGGAGCAAAGGGACACAAACCTGAACGGGATGGAAGGTTGAATTTCCGGGAACCTCAGGGCGCTTTAATCCGCTGTCGTCCAACTTCATGTATTAGCCGAATGTTCACTCCAAATTGATCTATGAAAATGTCACCTGATCCAATGTATGTTATAGCTAAAAGGCCTAGAACGCTCCAGCTCCAACGTAACAAGCCCTATATTACAATTTACAAAGCCCTAAAGACAGGTTTGGAAAGAAAGGAGATCTACTCGTCTCATTCACAGGCTCACGTCCACATCTACAAGGCCACGTGGTACTTGGACACATTTCATACATCTGTACAGAAACACAGAGACGCGAAACAAGAAAAAGCACAATCAAAATACAACACAGAGGGGGAGAGACGTAGAGAGACGAAGGGCAGGGGAAAGAGCCATCGGCTCTGTCAAACGGAAGCCACCCAAACCCAATATTAATGTGCAAGTCCAAAGACTGAATGACCAATGGTTCATAAGAGAGGGCTTTCAAGTGGGAGCCAAAATTAAAGAGATTTCGTCCCAAATTTGGTTGTCCCAGTGCCATTGAAAGAAGTAAAGGGATAAAAAAAGTATTTGGTGAACAAAAGGGGGAATATGTCAAGAAAGAAAAAAAAAAGATAACGCGACACACGCAGTGACGACGAACCGTCGCTCGGAGTATCATGTTGAGAAGAGAAGTGGCCGGTCAAAAATTGCACAAAAAAAGAAGAGATACGTGATATGTGACATGTAAATCCTTGATGGATGATGGACAATGAAAATGAAGTTTTGTGCAGTCTCTCTGCCCCTACCTCTGTCGGAGAGTGGGGAGAGCATGAACGCATCGAAAGAAGCAGTGATCTCAGAAGAAACAAGGGTCTTCGAAGGTCCAATGCCCTCTGATTGTCGTCGTAGGGTCCAAAGGGAGGGGAGGGTGGCGGAAGGAGTGGTTTATACGTCGTGTTGTCAAAAGCATATCTAGTTCCATCCCAAAGAGTTCTCCGCCATAACGGGAGCACTGATCATCTGCGAACGAGCAGTTCCACGGCTACCATGGCTAGGGACACGGCCACCAGCAGCGAACATCGAACCAGCAGCGGAACCTCCCTGGCTCATCTGCTCAACAGTCGAACTAGAGCGCTGGTGCAGCTGTTTTCTCTTGCGGTAGCGGCGGGCAACCCAGAACATACCCGCACCGTAAGCGGCAGCACCGGCCACAACACCGACTCCGATTCCGACAGAGCTAGCTTTAGCCTTGGAGCTGCCGGCAGAGCCATCAGTGTTCTCGTTGTTGCCACTATCTGGGCCATCATCATTGCCGTCGTGGTTGTTACCGTCAGTCGAGTCGCTGTTACCACTAGGGTAGTTTCCAGAGAACTCGAGAGGAATTGTGGGGTCAACCATTGCCATCAATGACGCGATGGATTCGCTAGGCTGATTGTAGAGAGCAGAGTTGGGGTTAACCTTGAGTGCTTGCAGAGCGTCGACCTTATCACGAGGGAAATAGAAGATAGCAATAGTGGCGTTATATGCCGTGTCGTTATAGCCAGTGGTCTTCCAGTTGTAGTAAGGCTCAATAGCAAACATAACTGGGCCGTCCTTAGCAGAGAGCGCTGGCAAAGCGTTCTCAATAGCCTGGGGGGTGTAGTTGAAGATTTGCGTCGAGGACAAGGGAGTCTGTGCAACAAATGACCACGGCAGCTGCCTGTTGAAACCAAGCTGGAGCAAAATAGAGTCGGGAGGAGGCTCGGACACCTCGTTCGATGGGGTAATAGAGCCAGGGAGCGACGGTGCCGTGGGCTTCGCAGACTCGCCGGAGGTCGAGCTCTGGGTGGCGGTCACGGTAGGCATGATAAGGATCGTCGATGGCATCCAGTCGTTGTCATTGGAGGTGTGGGGCGTCAGGGTCGAGGTCAGGGTCTCAGGCTCCACAGTGGGCTTGGCCGTGCTCACTTCTTCGCTCGTCGAGGTCGTCGAAATCGTCGAAGTCGACAATGGATGAGGGGCTGAGGCTGGGTGAGAGGTGGACATGGGAACCTTGGAGCTCTCGTAATAACCACTACCGGAAGCAGAGGTAGTGGTAGTGCCGAACAAAGGAGCCGAGGCAGTGGTAGAACCAGAGACAGTTTCAGATCCAGATGTAGAGGTAGACTCCGAGCTGTGCGAGTGCGGGACGGGAATTGATCCAAGTGTGCTGGTTGGGGTGGGGATGACACCAGTGTTGGTACCTGTCGGGCCAGGAATGAGACCGGTCGACTTAGGCGGCACAAGACTACCACCCGACATGGACGCACTCGAAATCAAAGCAGTGCTGCCAGTGCTAGTAGAGGTGGCACCGATCAGGGAATCCACGCTTGAAATGAAACTGCCGACGAAATCACCAGAAGTTGATGTCGCAGTTCTAGTGGGGGCGGTCGACAGCGAGCTAGTAGCGGAAGCAGGCACGCTGACTGGAATGGTAGGCGAACTAGAAGCGCTCGAGGATACGGTAGCACTTGTGCTATTGCCGGTGGAAGACTTGTCACCTAGGCCCAAAAGGTCAAGGAGATCCGACCCTGAGCTTGTCATGCTCGACGCTGCACTCGAGGATGCGCTGCTGATCTTGTTGGCGCTAGACGGGCCCGTGGATGTCGCAGAGGCGGAGCTGCTAGTTGTGGATTCCCCGGCAAGACCGTTCAATCCTGAGCTCAAGTCATCAAAGAGACCTGAGCTAGAGGATACAACAGGAGTAGAAGCGGGCGAGGTTGTCTTAGTCGATGAGTCGGAGGTGGTGGTCGCAGTCGAAGATGTGGAATCACTCCCAAAGAGGTTGTCCAAACCTGAGGTCAGATCACCAATGGCACTGTCGCTAGAGGCTTTAGTCGGAGCAGGCGTAGTCGAAGCCTTGACTGCTGAGTCGACCACCGATCCCTGCTTTCGTGTGGTTTCCGCATCGGCAGATGGGGCCTCGGAGCTCTTTTTACTGGTGACCTCTGTGCTCGAGCCCTCTGTCTTCTGTGTAGTCGTAGTAGTGGTACCAGTCGGTTCACCGCCAATGATCGTAGTACCAGTGATACGGTGGGTGATCTCAGGGTTCTTGGGGTCGACCGAGATGGTTACGACGACGACTTCCTGTCCCTTCTGGGGCTGAGCGGCGATAGAGTTTTCGGGGGTGGTAGTAGCCGTGGAAGAAACCTGGGTGTTTTTCGAGTTGTCGAATAGACCGTCGAGGATCGAGCCAGGGTCGGGCTCGGCGTTCCTGCGGATTGTTCGCTTGACTTCCTGCGGGAAGTACCAGCGCGGCCGCTGAACGTGCGCTTCAGGCGTATCTTGAGCCACAACGAGCTGGAGACCTCCTACAGCGAGGAAGGCTGCGAGAACGGAAACGGCGTCGGGACGCATGTTGAACAGCTCTGTACGTGATAGCTCCAGAGCAAGTCCAAGGTCAGTGTACAAAAATGCGATAACCACCGTCTGTCAACACCTCATGAACGATCAGGGGGTGGGACAAGAGGTAAATCGCCTGGAATATTTGAGTTTCCAACACAACCAGACTTCGGACAGTTGTAATAAATTCACAACTGCAAGATTATTGTATCCAACGTCTCGATGGCAACCGATGAGACAGACCGAATGGGCGCAAACAATAATTTGACGATAAAAACGAATGGAAAGGGGATTTAGATAAATCTGAAACGACCCCAAAAGGTGAAAAACGAGTGTGGGCTTAGAAAAGCTGTAAGGAGCGAACGATGACTTTCTGTAGAACCGTCCGGGCAACGGGATCAAAGAAAGGGAAAACGGGCAATGCGGGCGACCGATGCAAGGGGAAGTTGGCCCAGGTCAAAAAAACGCTGTTGAAAGTCAACAGGTGAACACAGTAAAAACAGACAAGGGAGAGAAAGAAAGCAAAATGAGTGAATGAGGTCGAAGGATCAGAGAAGAAGAGGATCACTTCATCATCAGGGGGGGGAAGGAATGGGGGGGCGGGACACGTTGTGACAGCGTCAACAAGGGTAATTTACAGTAAATTACGTAGTTTAGTGTATTTAATGAGCTGGTCCGGGCGTTTGGCAGGTGCGTGGGATGTGGCCACGCACTTGCCCCCTGAACGTTTACCGTTGCGCATGTGCAAGCTTGACTTGATCCTATTCCTTATTCCTACAATGTGGAATGTCCAAATAATACATGTACATCTCGATCTGATCTAATTACAAACTTCTATTGTTGTACCATAATACCTATAACTAGCTAATACCTGCTAATGCAAGGTTCATCCTAAAGCCCTCATCTGAAGCCATATAGCTAAGCTACCCTAAATACTAACCTACACAATAACTATCACCAAGACAAAATAGTTAGACAGTCTAGCTGGTACTGTGCACATAGAGGCAATGATGGGTCATGCCATGATAATTGTCTATCGGGAAAAGAATGAGCCTGTTCCTTCTAGGTCGACAATCGTTTGGTACCGGTACATCCGACTAGAGCCCTCCTCGGCCTGTACTCCATACTACAGTATAGAGACTGCTGTATAGGTACTTGAGCCATATTTGGGTTTTTTTTTCCCGCGCCGTGCGACAATGATACCTGGAATATATTCTGGCCATTACGAATATCACGAGTGACGATTGACGATCAACGATGAGATTGTAAATCAATATTCAGATCTAAGTTGAACTACAGAGTATGTTGCACATATATATTGTATCTAATGTCAGATCCAGATTACTATAAAATCCGATGCAAGTATCAAAATTAAGTTCTTTGAACCATTGTAACACAATGGCACTTAATTTACCTCTGCAAAATAAAAACATAGTTATAAGTACGAGGGCCTGGAAAGCGTTTTTCATTTAAGACGATCAATCCATTAGCTCAGAGACTATTCAAGAGGGAGTCTGAGCTAAACCCACTTAAGCCGCGCATCACAATATTAAAAGAAGAAAATACATAGTGTAAAAGAAAAACGCGCAAGTCAGACGATTCCTATTCAAGTTTAGTCCGCAAGGTCTAGCCCGGAGGCGTCCAGCTAAGTGGGTCCTTCCCTCACGCGTTCCTGAGCGTGTCGGGAATCCAAAGTGCGTGGTTACAATTACAATCCTTGTCTTTACTTCCCCCCTACACAGTTTTTCGCCAGGCACCCGGCTTACATTACTATAATCGTTAGTAGATTGAGCCCATCTTGCGCACTTGGCTTCTTCTGGCCTAGATCAGCAAAGTGCTGACTAGCCGCTGTTGAGAGCTCGGTAAGAGGGTTGACATTCTGTCGACGAGCCATAAGTTGGCTCTTTTTGACTCGTGAGATAGATGTGAGTATCTTACTTAGCGGAGTCATACACATCATTAGTTCAATCCACTATGGGAAGTAGGGGATGAGCCCTCAAATTGGATTAAAAACCGGCAGATATTAAGAATGTTTCACTCTATCGAAGCTTTAGGTTTTGTCTCCAGAATAATAGATTAATAAAAACGACCGACACGAACACCTGCTCATAGTTTAGATATTCTACAAAACCTGAATCCGAAGCTGATTGAACTTTCAATTTTTTAAAAAAAAATGACATACACCACGTGCCCCCCCGATCGGAATGGAGGAGTTGGCAGCTGTGATTTCCCCTCATTCTTGTCGTCATTTTCAGATGCTCAACATCCCTAGTGTGTTTGAGATTGTGCCAACCAATGCCAAATGGTGTGAAACCAATTAAGTCGGGAAACCCCCTCGTTATCTTCACCAAATTTTGTTTTCTTTTTTTTTTTTTTGTTTTTGTTTTCCCTCTTCTTCTGTTACTACAAAGTCTTGCCTCTTTAGCTTTGTGCAAGGGCTTGTAGCTGCATGCTGCATGAAACCTCATCGAAAAGCCTTTAGAAATGCAGGAACCGAGCATACAATCTTATGCGCGGGCCACAATCCGTGGGTTTAATTCTGGTTGACTCAGCCACATTCTCTTTATTTAACAGATCCCAGGTCAGGGTTTTTGGCTTGAAGACAACAATGACAACAATATTAAAACGTCCATGGGATCTTCTCAGTACTCCGTATTTAAGAGTTTTATACAATATACTTCCAGAGGCTCATCAACTGTACCACGGACGAGTGTAAACGCTATCCCTGTTCCTGAGTGCTCCAGCTCCAGTCTCCACCCTTCATCCTTGGTTTTGGCCAGTATTTCTTGAAATTTTCCAAACAAAGGTTACAAGCAGTCAATGCCGACCATATCGTAATCTTTCCATACATGCTGTAAATTATACATAGATCATGTGACTCGCACATTTCATTTTGCCAGGTGTAGTTGTCTGCCTTCTCCACGTCCAATTTCTCAAAGTCTAGAACTGCGTCCATTGCTAGGCTTTGTAACCAGGCCAGAACACTCGATTTCGACATCTGATCCCTTGGGAAGGGACTTGACGGCAATGCAAGTACGCACCTAGAAGGGCATAGTGAGAAACGGTTCAGAAAATAATGAGTGTCAAATTCCAAACGTCCATGGAATTTGAATATCTTTTCTCTTGGTTTTTGATCGGAGATTACGTACCGGCTTAGGATCCGAGAAGAAAGTAGCGTAGACTTCGTTCACAGCCGAGAAATCAGCCATATCGGTGAGGAAGATGTTGACTTTGATTGCGTCGTGGAGACTCGATCCTCCAGCCTCGAGGACGGCATTGAGGTTGCGTAGGATTTGTCGCTGTTTGCATGTCAGAAATTATATACATCAGATATCGCGCCTCTCATACTGTTCGGTCCTGGATGGTTCCCTCCACCATTTCACCCGTGGTCGGGTCTACTCCCAACTGGCCAGAGCAGTAGACGACGTTGCCGACGACCAGACCTTGGGATAGGATTGGGGGCGGGAGAGGTGCGCCCTTAGTGCTGACGGCGGTACGTGTTGGCTTGGACATCTTGTGGGATTTTGAGTCGGAAATGAATTGAGTTAAAAAGCAGAATTTGTTTTGAGTGTTCAAATTATTTGGCCCCCCGGGGATTCTGTGGGGATTCCCGATAACGTCCTTTTCCCCCACAGTGACTACCGACCGACCTCGGAGCACTCCGATGGGAATGATTATGAAAGATTTTCATTTTCAACGTAATTTAGAATAGATAATTGTTTTCTATCAAATATGGAGAAGCAATTTATACATGTTGGGTTTATATATCTCGAGTAACAGGCCTCGGGAGATATTCTCTTTTGTCCCCTCCAGTTTTTGCTATAAATATCTTTGATTATTTTTTTTATCTCGAATGTCTCTGGAGAAATTGATGATAGCAAAAATCCTGGTGGTTGAAACTAATTTGGCCAAAAACAAACCACTAAGCAGCGCTCTCCATCAGTGCAATTTCCTGGCCCTGTTGAAATGTTGTCTCAACCTCGACTCGCGCACCGCTAATCCAAACGACCCCGCCGCTCCAGGCCCTAGTACTATAATGCCGAAGAGAAGTGTCAAATCAGTTTTTTGAAAACTATTGCAGACATTCCTCCCTTGATGCGAGATAATGCGAGCTCCAACCCAACCCTGCTAGACATTTAGAGCCACAAGCCACGACTGCTCTGTATGCTTGGCTAGATCCGTTTCCCAAAAAGGGAAATGACCGGCTGCCAATCCTAGAAAATGGGAACAGATAACGAAAAGGAAAGGAATTAGAAGGGGGGTTGCAAGGACAAGTGCAATATACCCATAGTGTGACCACGTGCTGGCTTGCAGCCGTGGTGGGATAAACGATAGGAAAGGACAGAGTAGTGTTGCGATGATCGTAGCAAATATTTCCATGGCTTCGCTTTTGGGGAGGGTTGGGTCCCGTAGTTGTTTACTATGCTGGATCGCCAAAAAGAGATATTGAGGCTTTACAAGAGCGGCACTGATGAATTGCCAGAGTATGACGAAGAGTAACTGACTTATCTATTAATTAGTTTGTGACATACAGTGGATGCGATGCCATTGGTATACACATACTATTTCAAAACGTAGGATGTCACCTCTGGCTCTCGATCAAAACCTAAATATTGCTATAAGCGACAACAAAGTTGATATCAAAGAACAATATTCGAGGCCCAACAGATTATTGTTGCCGCGGGTTTCGTCAAATGCAGTCACTGGCGTCGTTTGGTAATCCAGCACCTTGATCCCCGTGTAGGTCATTCGCATAGTGCGTCCATCTGGAAGATGACCCGAGGCGACAATGGTATCGAAATTGTCGAACATCTTCCCCCGATACCCGATGAGCCCCCAGATTGAGTGAACACCAAATGCTCTTAGGATAAGGAGGTGGTATGGTATGCGACAAATCATTTCGACGATGGGTTAGATGTGATACAGCCGACCTTTATCTCATTCATTGTGCATTGCAAGCCCCCCCCCCCCCCCCCCCCCACCCACCCCAAGGACTAGCAGTATGTATGGCCCAACTAGGTTTGGTTCACAGAGGAAAACATGGAGATTCTGGTACAGAAGCTGGCCAAGCATCCCATTTGTGGATCAGCGGTATTTGGTGAAATGTGGCGGACTCGCACTAAAGCGCAGATGATATCTCCCTCGAAGAAGTTTTGGACCACTGGTGCTTTGAACGGACTGCAATGGCAGGCGACGCGATCCATAAGGTATGAAACCCAAAGCATCAGACACTCGCTCGCTGCTCTGTATAAGCGAGAACCTTCATGTCTGATCATTTCAGGTAACGCCCAACTCAGCCCTGTACGACTGCACGCCTATGGAAGACGTCGTCATTATTACCAACAAACTCCACGAGCTGCTCACTGGGCATCCGAACAAGAAGCCCACAAGCGTTGAAATCAGTGCTGTAATGCAATCCTACCAGAATTCCCGATTGAAGAAAGAGAGGGGGGGAGAGAGTCAGGGCCATTGTGAAGGTAGGTGAGGACCTGACGCGGCTCCAGGCCTACGATGGGTGGTACTTCTACATGAAGCGCAAATGTGGTTCACTCCATGGATCGGACCTGACAAGATGGCAATCGGCATTACTGTGTTGTGCAATATGGGACCGAAGTTAAATTCGGTCGACTTTCCCGAACAGAGAGGGCTACTAGGGTCAGGACACCATTCCTGCGGAGGCTAAGAAAAAATGCGAGGCAAAGAAAGCGAATATATTATGACTGAAGGGGTCTTTACGCTGGGGTTGGAATGAAGAGGTGCAGTCGTTATGGCCTTTGCTTGCTAGGTTCTTGTGCCTTAATTCGACGCTTTTATAGATTTTGGCTAGGGGTGTGAGCTATGCGTTGCCCGGGCTCGATATTGTTGCATGTCAAAACATATCACTTTCCTAGTCTTTGTTTTAAACCATTGTCTATTTTATTCCACCAGTAAATTTGTGTACATGAAAACACCTGGGCATATAATGAAGTGTGACGTCAATGCTGACATAACTTTGTGGGGAAAAGGAGCCGATTGGCTGAAGCCCCATGCTGATCCGGAGTCCTCTGGTCCTTCTTCCTTTATTTTATCCTTCTCCCTTCCTTTTCACTTCTTTCGGTTGTGAGATCTGAGATCTGACATCAATCTTCTTGTCCAATTTATTCTAATCATCTTTTATAAGGCCTCTGCAGGACAGACTCGGCCAGGATCAGCACCCCCTCATATCGCTGTACTCCACAAGTGGATCCGATCAACAACGGGAGCCATTGACTACTGCGAGAATCATCAGACTTTCAATAGCCTGGGATAAGCAGCACCTTGAGCTTTGACATACAAGTTCGGGTATCCATCATGAGTTCCTCAGTCGCAATGTCAATCAGAAAGTCAGGGCCTCGAATCATTCGTCCGGCATCTTCCCAATTGGTGGTCACACATACTTCAGATCGGAGTATATGGCGATGTGCACGGCACGGTCAGGGAGACAAGGCAGAACGTATCTCAAGAAGTTTCAACAAATATCAGCGATACCCTCTATACAGACAGCGAAAGCCCAAAACTCGCCATGACAGCAATGCTACTCCCAATGATACACACTCAAGCTGGAGCTGGGCAGTCTGGCGTTACCAGCCAAATTTCTCCGAACTCCCGGCTGGCCCAGAGAGAAGGCTCTGGGGTTCAGATTCAGGGCAGATGTACAAGCGCATGGAGTTGTTGAAAAAGTACATAGAGGCAGACCCTTACAGAGCCGTCTTTGGGCGCCGAGTGGACCCCCTTCGAAATTTCGGAAAGAATGACACTCCTTTGAACGGTTTTCTTCAGTTGCTTTCCAGTAAGGAAAAGTCATCTAGTGATAGACCGAGAGTGGACAAGCGGCAAAAGAGAAGTGACACCAATCATGCTGGACTCCAGTACGACCCTATCAGTGGACGTATGGTGCCGATACCATCGTCTACTGCGCCTAAATCAAGTAACACGGAACCAAGAATCAATATTCACAAAGCGGTTGACTGCCCCCCAGGCACTGAGGTCGAGGCAAATTTCGCTCGCAACCCCAATTTGGCTGAGGATGGACAATTCCAGCCGGGAAATATGGGACAGAGCCCCGAAGCCCCGTCGAGCTCACGGTCAACAGTTGACTGCCCTCCGGGCAGCGAGCTAGGTGCACTTTTTACCTCAACACTCACCGATGCGCAGGGCAGGGTTCAAGTTTCTCAGGAGACCGAACGAAAACCCCATGTAAACATCGATTGCCCCCCAGGAAGTGAATTGGAAACATTGTTCGTTTCTGAATCTATTCCTTCTACGCAGCCTCAGCCGGGCACATCCAACGTCAACGCAAACACCAATAAACCGAATTTGGACGCTGGTATGACTGCGGGCACTAACGTGGAATGCCCCCCGGGAAATGAGCTGGATGCAAAGTACATCTCTGATCCCACCAGCCGCTCTGTCCAGAACTCTCCGTCTGCGTTGGCGACACAACCCCTGGACAAGCAAATTTGTATTTCCATTGATTGTCCACCAGGCAACGAGCTGGACGCAAAGTTTTCTTCTGGGCTTGCTAGTCTCAGTCTCGAGTCCGCCGGTCTTGTCCATCAAACGACTAACGCAGCCCCCATGACAAAATCCCAAGAAAGTTTTGAATGCTCTCCAGGTAGTGAGATTGAAGCACATATTTTATCAGAGTCGGCCAGTCAAGAGAGTACCCAATCGGGAGCCCATACCTCTATTGATTATCCTCCTGGAAGTGAACTAGACGCCAAATTCGCCTGCAACCCGGCTTCAATGAAGGGAATACAACCACAGCCAGAACTAGCTTCTAGCCTTGGTACATTCAAGATAGCCAAGGATAGTGTCGACTGTACACCCGGGAATGAATTAGAGGCAAAATTCGTTACGGAGATGGCGAGGGCCGAGGGTCCCAATGAGAATGAGGACCTGGGTGCTTTGGATGCTACTGACACTCGGTCTCATTATGCTCCTTTGGAATCAAAGGTGCAAGCTAGTTCGCTAGATTTCAATGCTTCCGAAGACCGCGTTGGGGACTTCATTCTCCAAAGCCAGAACCTAGCTACTGAAAATAGAGAGCAACCAGATGCCTCTCCTTCCCCTAAATTCCATATTCTTGCTTTGGATACGTCGACCTCGCAAATCACAGCCGCGCAAGCAGACTCATTCTTCGGTGTCGACGAAGATAGTATGCCAAGTGAAATCCTGTCTCGACTGCACAATCCTGCCAAGTTCCTGCCCTATTTCGAGAAAATGCAATACAGTGGTTACGAAATTGCAACTGGCGGAGGCAACATCCTTGTGTTTCGAAAGTCTCAAAGTACTCCTCACCACACCCTCTCGAAAACCCCAACAGAACAAGAACCAGTAATTCACACCGAGATTGCCAAACATCTTCGGCATGACTCGATGGACTCTGCCGTCACATACCCCGGAGCCCCCTGGAAATCCACCACTGAGGTGAGTAGACAGTAGAACTGTCTATTCAGGTGGCTTCCTAACATGTTGATTTAGCTTCCGCCAGAAACCGGATCCTCTAGCTCCGAGCCGAAACCAACCACAACATCTGAGTCTTCGTTTCGCAAAGCAGGCCGCACAATGCTCGTTGCAGGCACAGCTACGGCAGCAACATGCTATGCTATCGGAGTTATGACCGAGTTCTTCCGCACCGGCGTAAAGGATGGGCGTAGAATTGATGGGTTCACTGTATTTGAGTCAGATCGACGTCATCGAGAGTAGGTTTTACCAATGGCAGTTTTCGGGTTATATCTCGTGAGTATACGATTATTGAAAGTTAGTCATTGGAATTTGAGTTCTACACTAGGAAATTGTCATGCAGATTTGATGGGTCTTATTTCTTCTTCATGCGAACTCATGTATCACCTGTCATTTTCATCTTGCGAGATGTTGAAGTCCCGTACGCTAGATCCAGATATGGAATGAATCTCCAATATTGATTACGATTCTTTGATTGTCATGCTACCACTAGGTCACCTGCTGTTAATTAATAGATACTAAACTACACTTAATCTTATCTCGTTCCTTTGTCCTTTGTGCTCATAAGCATGCTGGGGTACTGTCCCTATATCTTTGTAAGCCCATTATTACAACATTATCGTCAAACTCAGACACAATAGCTGCTGTAAAGGAATATCTAGACCTAATTCCTTGAAGATCCAATTCCGCAACTCAGCGCCAATCATACATAGACCGGCTCTCTTCTTCAAACTCGTTCATGCCGAGCATCCACATGCGAGCAAGCTTTGCAATAAAGTGCTCACGCACAGCCTGAACCGCATCGATAGATTTTAACCCTTGCAGAGAAGATAAATTACTCTGATTCCCACCTTTAGCAGACACATTCTCACTCTAGGACTTCGTAGCCAAAACAGTGTGATTGAATCGTACATCCGAGGCCCAAAAACTGTCGACGTCACCTGCTTTCTGTGCCGCTTTAGCGAGCTTCATTGGATGTAGCCTAACAACAATGTGGTCTGAAATTCCTTCCCGAACCTGCTCAATTATCACAATCTCAAAGACGCGGAGAGCTTCTTCGTCAATGCCATACATCCCCTTGCATCCGAGTGACTCTTCGAGCTCGTTGTTCTCCGCGGTCACCCCAACTCCGAAGACCATTGGAACCACGATCGAGACTGAATTATGCCGGTGAGAACGATGGTGTCGGGCGAGGACATTTAGGTAGCTGTTTCCAGTGGCGTAGTTGCTTTACCCTGGTGTTCCCGATACTCCAGATACAGAGCTCGTTGTCACGAAGAAATATAGCGGGAGATGGGAAAGGGCTTCATGCAGGTTCTTCGTGCCCGTGGCCTTTGGGTGTACAGATGTTGTCCAGTTCTCATACGACATATTGTGAGATGATCCATCCTGTAAACCGACACGTCAGTTATATCATCAGCACAAGTTATACAGCGGAGGAATAGCTTGTCCGCAGTACCATAACGGCATTGATCACTCCCCGGATAGTTTCCGCCCTTGGTAGCTACAGTCGTAGCCAAGGCGCGTGCAACGACCACACTTTAGGTCTGCCCGATCACACCCAACCTTGCCTGGTGCTTTTACTTCAGCTATCTGCTTTTCTAGGGTTGGAGTCGGATTCATAAAGCACTTACGCTCCCGACAAATATCACAGGCCAATCGCCCAGGGGGGTGGGAGTTCTCTTTCTTGGTCATAACGCGGGATTGGGGCTTCCGACGTTCTCGCGCAAACTCCATGGAAGGAGAGCTGGAATCAGATTCTTCGGTGTATCGCCGAAGCATTGTCAAATTTGACCTTGGTGAGAAGCAAAAACCATGGGTGGGTTAAAGCGGATGGGCAGACCATTTAGTGTAGTCTTTAAGAGGGCATCATCAAGGAACAACTCCCACGCAGCCTCCATAAGTGTGGGAGCGGAAACTCAAGTTGTACAACTCTGAGCAAGCTTTGACTTGAGGCCAAGCATACAAGAGAAATCAGCTCTTGGTGTGGGATTAAAGAAGCAAGTGGGCTTTTGTTCTTGTGGATCTATCGGTACGGGAAGATCAGTGGGGTCGAGGCCAATTTTATATGATTACGTCAGCGGCCTCGCCCTCCAGGGCTAACCACCTGCCGAACTATGGAAGGATCTGTGCCTTGGATAACTATTGGGTGGACTTGTTTCTCCGGTGTTTCTATTTCCCTTAAACGGCATGCAATGCGCCATCCGCCGCTATGGTGTCTCACTGGACCCATGCGTAGGTAGAAGCATTAATGATTGTAGGTCTGGTATGCGGTGATAGCATTCACATGGGCATCTAGCGCTCTTGGCAATATACTTTGCTCTTGGCGCATCGAAAGCCTAGATGTATACATACTAGTTACGTAGCACTTAGCTAGGATCACCATCATAGTGGGGGTTGCAAAAGGTTCTCAGCCTTGTGCTCTGACCCCAGATAAAGTTCCATGTATCATTTTATGCTCTTCGTGGGCATGACAACAGCCCCCTCGGATCAACGATGTATGCAACTCTGTATATACATTCTTGTGGTTTCATACCGCCTCAAATAACAAGGCGGGAGAGATCATCATACTCAGGGGACGAGATATGATTGCGCCAGAAGCGCAGACCCTCAATTCCTTCTTCTCGACAGAGAACCCCCCGATCTTCAGCCATCTCCAGTTCTTCGGCAGCCACCCCAACGCTCCACTTGAATCGATGCGCAGCTTCTTGGGCAGTAACGGCCCGACCAAAGAGGGACCAATCCCACGGAACAGGATCGTCAGGGGGAATTCGTCGGAGCTCCTCCGTCCAGGCCTGAAGTTTTTCAATGGTCTTCTCATCGCTCCAGTCATATCGCTGCACCACAAGGAGACCACTTTTGAATCGTCGTAGGCGAACTGGCAACTTGAGCTTTTCCCACAGCTCCGCTGCTTTCTGAAAATCTGAAGGACTGGCCAATTCTACTCCATTACGGGAGCGGTTGAAGACAGCCCAGAGATCAATTAGACTCATAATCCCACCTTCCCGCTGCAAAATGCCTTTTCGGTCATCGGTGAGATACTCGGCAAGGTCACGCGCAAGTTCTGATAAATATAGACTTTCAGATCCGGAACTAAGCATGTCTTTCGTTGTTACCATCCCCAGAGCAGCAGCGGACTCGGATAGCACCGCGCTGGTTTCTGGGGAGCCTTCGTTAGTAGTCATGCCAGACTCACGCGCCAGAGTTTCGGCCAACGCAACGATCTGCTTAGCAGAGGCCATTAAAGCCTCTAGATCTTCAAAGGCGTTCCCTATGACCAGTTCGTTTTTCCTCCGGGCTTCCAGCCCTCTGCGTTCTAGTCCCGCAATCCCAGCCCCGGAAGTTCGTAGTGCTGAGGGTAGAGGGCTTTCAACGCTAGGGGTAGGGGAGGGTAAGCCCGGCGACGAGGCGCCTTGCAACGGTGAAGGCACTGGGGGCGCATTTTGCAGGAGCCATTTTCTTTGCACCAAGGCCCCCTTCAGTCTTTCATAGAAAGTCTTATCGCCGCCTGCACGAAATGAAAGTTTAATACACTCACTAACCTCCGTGTTCGCGATGTGCGATTGCTCAAATAACGGTGCAGGGGAGTCCACGCGATTGGCGTCCACCGAAGGGCTAGCAGATAGAGGCGCTCCACAAATCTCGCATTCCACGAGAGATGGATGGTTCATAAAGGTACATCGCGGGCAAGAGACAGTTCCCCCTGAACCAAGAGGCAATATAGACGCATTGGCATTTGGTTGGCCTGTATCCTGGGCAATGGCTGGTGATGCAGCCGGATTCGGCAACGGGAACTCCCGGCTTGTTACGGCATTGATCGCTGCTTTGAGAACAGTCGTAAATGGTGGTTTGATGCCACATGCTAGGCAAGGAGGTAAATTTGTAGCCGCATTAGCGATTGCGGGGTCGAAATTGGACGGAACCGGGTTGGAGAATGAGCATATGGGACAAATCCAAGTGGCATTAATAGGCTTTGGAGATGGTGAACTCTGTTGGAGGTTCGTTTGTGGAAGATGAGAAAGTGAGTGCGTGGGATGAAGAGCCGATTGTTGCGCTACAGCCGGGCTGGCTGTTACGCTCCTCGACTTATCGGTTTTCTTCTTCTGTGGTTTGGAGTATATGGTGACCTTCGGAGATGACTTCAGGAAGCCAGCCTTGAACCAATGAGTTTGTTAGTGATCAGCTGGGAGGAGAAGCCTCGAAAGCAAGATGTATGCATGTCGCACCTGAGACTCCACTCGATCGATTTCTTTCAAATCAATAGCCACTGAGTAATTCCGCGGATCCTCGGCCGCAACATAGCACACTCTGTGCGATGTGAGATAGGCATGGCCATTTTGATAATTCTGGATTTTGTATTTCCTTTGCCGCTAATCAGCACCCCGCATCAGGAGCATCATCATGAGGTACTTACCCTTCATACAACCCCACCGCGTCCTGGACAAAGAGAAGAATCTCATCTGGTAACAGTAATGGTCTGAGCGCAGTAGTCAGATCCAGCGACTTGAAGAACATCTAGTAGGTTCAACCAGCTCCCAACATCAAGGAGATCCATAAAGAGAGAGAGGCATCCATGGATGTCACCTAAGCCAAGGCGATTGCGATAAGGCGATAAGGCGGGATTATCGGCCAAATGAAAGTCCGGTGAGTAAGCGAGTATCACTCACCGTCACGGGTCGAGTCTGTGTGGACTACATTCTTACCCTTCCCCGGCTCGTGACCATCTCATCTTGGAAATAAACGTTCATCATCCTTTTTTCTCATCTCAAACCCAGTACCAGCCGAGGAGTAAGATCAAAACTTGATTCTTCCAGCCGTTCCTCGAGTCTTGCCCCTTCGTAGCTCTTTACTTCCTTTCATCTTGTTTCTTTGTTTTTTTTTTTCTTTCTTCAAATCTTGCATCTACGATGAGTTCCAGCGTACCACCTTGGCGCTCTACTGCCACAGGCACAATATCTAGTGCGTTTCCTCCAGCTGGTAAGAACAAACAATTCGACACGAGTCCAGTTAGCCTTGTGTCAGGAGGCTAACAACCTGACAGCGGCTCCAGCATACACTCAAGTCCAAGCGCGTCGTAGCCTCGCCCATCATGCCAAGCCAATGAATGGGACCGTTCCTCCCCAGCCCACCCAGTCGGCATCCGGTGATGCCGAATCCCGGACACGGGTGGAGTTCCCACCACCAGTACGCTCGTATGTGCAACGCTGCTTTGCTCCCGAAAATCAGGTTGCAAGCGTGAGCATTCCTGAAATGCAGGAGAAGTTGAGGCACGTCATCACGGACGCAGCCCAGAATGACAAGCTGGGATTGATTGACTGGGAAAGGCTACCTTTGCCCCAAACTATGGTGCAAAATGAACGCAACAAAATCCTGGCCAACCCCAGCTCTTCTAACTGGGCGTCCAGTCACCCAGCTTCTCCGGGGGATGCCACACGGAAGCGAAAGTCAACCGATGGCCATCATTCGGAGACTGGATCGCCGCCATGGAGAAAAGCTAACCGCAACCGTTTTGAAGATCGAGTTACTCACCCTACCACAGAGAAAAAACCACGCATAACACTGGACCAGTCTAGTAAGTCCAAAGCTAATTTGGAAATGAGGAGGAAGCGTTTTGAAGGAGTGGGGGGCAGCGGGAACTCTTCCTCTTCTCCTGCAGGATCGCCGATGCGTGCCGCCGACGCGGATCAAGGCCCCGTTGTCGGGCGATGCCAAACATTAGAGAAGAACTACTTCCGATTGACCTCTGCCCCCAACCCGGACAGTGTTCGTCCTCTGCCGGTTTTGCAAAAGGCCCTGGATCTATTGAAGAGGAAATGGAAGCACGATGGCAACTACGGTTACATCTGTGACCAGTTCAAGTCTTTGCGTCAAGACCTAACGGTTCAACGCATCCGAAATGAATTCACTGTCGTTGTCTACGAAATCCACGCGCGCATCGCCTTGGAAAAAGGGGATCTTGGTGAGTACAACCAGTGCCAGACCCAGCTACGAGTGCTGTATGCGCAGCAGCTGGGAGGACACCCGACGGAATTCAAGGCCTATCGTATTCTCTATTTCATTTACACCCGAAACTGGACAGCGATGAACGACGCACTAGCCGACGTTACTGCAGAAGATAAGAAAGACTTGGCCGTGAAGCATGCCCTGGATGTTCGATCTGCCCTTGCACTCGGGAACTACCATCGTTTCTTCCAGCTGTACCTTGATACCCCGAATATGGGAGCCTATCTCATGGACATGTTTGTCGATCGGGAGCGATTGAGTGCTCTCGCAACCATGTGTAGAGCGTACGTCTCTTGATTTCCCCCCGTTGGAGCATCTCAGTTGACCTTTTGTAGATACAAACCAGATGTCAACATCCGATTTATTACAGAAGAGCTTGGATTCGAGTCCGATGAGCAGACCGCACGTTTCGTTTTAGATCACTCCTCCGAAGAACTACTGGAGGAGAAGAACGGGGCTGTACGGCTGTTGACAGGCAAAGCAGGCTCGCTGTTCGATCAAGCCAAAGCATCCGCCCACCGCGTCGTCGATATCAAAGGCCAGATCTAACCAAGTTCTTTCCTTTCTCTGCGCCAAGGATCATAAACCGTTTCATCTCAGTCAAGGCCATTTGTCTTTTTTTTGGCGTATTTTCAAAAGCGGCAGGCATTTCGCCACATACGTACACACACATGGATACAGCATAGGCTTTCGAGAGTTCTTGCCATTTTTTCGTTCTCGTTCTCGTTCTCCTCGGCATCATTCCCCGGATTTCTTTTCACAGGATTGCCGGAGTTACG